TCCAGGAAGTTCTTGCCGTGGGGTGCGTGGGGGGGGGGGGGGGGGGGGGGGGGGGCTCCAGGAGTTTGACATCTTTCTGAAGCTGCTGAGCCCAGGGGTTAGCACCAGGTCGTATCCATCCAGAGGGTTGAACGTCGGAGACTCACCAAGCGCTGTGAACTGCCCAAAGAGTGCCGCCACAACCTGAAAGGAATCCGCAGGATGAAACGCCAGGCGCTGCCAGAAGCCTAGACGTCGAATCAGCAACTCGGTCCTGGCATCAACTATTCTCAATCTCTCGTGCATCACCCAAGCAGAAGGGGTCCGAACTCGATCCCCAGCTGGACCTGCGTGCCGAGCGACCCCTCGAAGCGCGACTTTGGCGAACCCCACGATGACGGAGTCGAGCTTCGCGTAATCCCCCTCCCCCAAAAGATAGACTTCCAGGCCCGAGTAGGCCGCGCTGTGAATAACTCCCGAGAAGGAAATTCTCTAAGCTTCCGGGGCGAGTGCTGGTTCCAAAACCGACCGAGCTCAGACCGCGCCGAACGAGTTGCGTTGACCCGAAGACGAACCTCCGCTCCTGCTCCTCCTGTGAAATGTTCCAGGCCTCCTAGGTACACGGCCTCGGCTTGTACCTGCCCTGGAAGCTGCACCAGTCCAGACAGAACGAGGACGGTCTCCTTATCTACATTCTGTGTGAAACCGCTTCTCTCCTCTAACTGATCGGACAGGATGCTAGACGACAATTTTGCACGCAGAGCAGCTCGAAGTGGGTTGCCGTCAGGTAGCGGCAAAGTCTGCGAGACGTCGTCGGCGTAGTCTCGCATCGATATATCTATCTGCTCATCGTGGATGGGCAAGTCAATCAGCGTCGCCGCCTCCATGGGTTGGACAGATCCGCCCCATCCTGTGTCCACGACATCGCGGGAGCACATCCTCAATATCTGATTCCAGGCCCCCAGCGGCTTGATCAACGAACGAACGAACATCTCACACGCATTGCCATCGCCCATGCCCGCTCCGTGAGCGGGCAAAAAGAAGCCTCGCTCCTCTCCAGCTTGAATCCCCATGACTGCTTCCCGGCGCCTCTGCTGAAGAAAGAGCTGGTCCTGCATATCGGGGATCACTTCACCGATCACCTGCTCGAGTAATTCATGATCTGTCGAAGGAAAGGCATTGCTCATGTCCTTCTCCACCTGCAGGTGTGGCACGGGCTTCTTGCGCAATCTCCACCAACTGCGCATTCTGGCGAGACCGATGAGCAGCGTAGCCGTGCGCATGGCCAGGAAGACGAGGGCGGTCGTGTCGCACAAAAATGCCTCTATACCAAGCTTTTCCGAAAGGACAGTAACAGTGTATCAACCTCGTCGCTTTCGTCCCTCTCTTGCCATTGCCTTTACTAAATTGAAACGTTCGGGACCAATGCCGCTGATATGGCGCGCGGCAGGAATATCTGATCTGGCGCAAGATGCCGAAGGGCCTCTCCACGAACCTCGGACAGGGGACATGTACTCGGCGCTGTGCTTGTCTCTCGTCCTCAGCGGGTTCCCCTCGAGCCTCCCGGGTGGCCGCGCGTAGTGCCATCAGCCATGCCTCGCCAGGAACAGAGTGAGGGGGTGAGTAGCGTCTCCTCGCAGCCTTTTCCAAGCACGCAAGAGTATTCGTCCAGTCGTCGTACGCTGCCGTGCCTGGTCTGCCTCGAAGTTCATTCCAATCTCCACCAGGATCGTCCAGTTCTCGTTGTCCAGGGGCAGCAGCGCTTGGTAATCCTGGCCCCAGCACTCGTGTGGCCGAGAACCCGCCCTCCGCCGCGCCGGACTCCATCGTCTCTTGCCGTTCCCCCAGAATAGGAGCATAGGTTGGGATCATGTTGAACCTTCGGCGTCGTGCTCCGTGGTAACGAGCTCCTATCTGAAATGCTATCTTCCAGACCGTGCTGGTGTGCCCTAGGTCCGAGGCCCGCTGGGCCTCGCTCGACATCTCCGCCACTCGCTCTCGATCCAGTCGAAGGCGTACTCTCTTAAGTTCACGGCCGCATGCTCGAAATCGAAGTCGGTCCTCCTCCGTAAAGATAACGCTCATGAGTCTCCTCTTCTCCAACAGCCTATCTCTCTCAGCCCGATACTCGTCCGAAGGACCAGGCCTGCGTTGGTCTGCGAACACGGTCTTGGCCGCCTCCCGAACGTCTGACACCAGGTTCGCCCACGCCATCGACGGGTCTGCCGTCTGAGTCTCTCTGCGCCAGGAGGGGGCGCTGCTCTCCGTCCGACGCTCTAGTTCCGCCATGAACTCAGGTGCGCCTCGATTTTTCAGAGAGTTCCCAAGAAGATCATGATCCCATCGTACTTCGTCCGTCTCCGTGCGGGGTGCCATCTGCAACCTGTATCTGAACTTCCACAACAAAGGGCAACGGTCTCGTAGGTGCGGCGACGGGATACGCTGGAGATCTCGCATGGCTCGTCGTAAACACACGCAGGCCTGTGTAGCTTGTACAGCTTCGCAAGGACCCCACAAGTGGTCTGGATGCGAGGTGAGGTGGGGCTGCGCTCCGAAGAACGTGGGCCCCGTATCGTAGAAAGTGTCGATCGCAGCCATGCCCTCCATGGTCATCATGCGCCACAGGGCGGCGCTCACTCCATTCTCGTAGCTGTTCGCGAACTGGCCCACATGCACGTCGTCGCGTGTCGCCGTCGGTGTTCCACTGGCTCCAGCTTTTTTTCCCGAACTCTGAGTTCGTGTCGGCCCCCACTATCACCATGCTGCGGGCCTTGGCTCGCTCAATCGTTCAAAGGAGCCACGCCGTCAGCTTTGCACACGTATTCGTCCAGTGATCCACTTGATGCCTCTGCGGCGGAGGATAAACGCCACGATCACTAAGATATCAAAGGTCGGACTTTTCAATCTAACAGCGCCTCCTCTGCCCGCCAGCTCCTTGGGCGGTTCTACGATCTCCTGAATATGGCTCTGGCGGAAGGCGCGTCTTCTCAACATGATTGAGCAGCCTGCACTCTTGTTGGTGTGGCGGCCTTCTGCCACCCGAAGTTCACCATCGTGTGACGCTACAACTTCTGAAAGGTCGGGCTGTCTCCTGCACGGCGGCGCTGCTGAGTCCCAGGCAAGAGTACCACATCAGCGAATATCAATCTCGAAGATATCTCATGCGCTCTCCATGCATCTGAAATCGAGAGTGGGTTGTACAGTATCGTTTGCAGAAGAGAAGCCCACATGGTGGGCGGGAGCGGGGGGACAGCAGGCGAAAGGGTCTAGCCTGCGGATCTGCATCCAGGGAGCCCCCGAGGTCCCCGATCTGAGCAGAAGGGGCTTAGGAGGAGGAGGAGGAGGAGGAGGAGGAGGAGGAGGAGGAGGAGGAGGTGGAGGAACTAGGCCTCCTAAACGGGGTCCGAGTAGACGGGGTCGGAGGATCGCGCTGCATCGACGATGCATCGGCGGTGCGGCTCGCTTTGGAGCCCGATTCTCTCAACGCTGGCGTCGCCGATGCATCGCCGATGTCGCCGATGCATCGCCGATGCATCGGCGATGTATCGCCGATGTATCGGCGATGCGGTGCGATCCTCCGACCCCATCTACTCCGACCCCGTCAAGGAGGCCTCTAGAGCAACAGGACGGCAGGAAGAGGGACAGGAGGAACAGCGGGAGAGAGGAAGAGACTTATGACCACATCCCAAAAATAATTTCGAGCATCCGGAAAAGTGTCGAAAGACTGTTGGAAGAGTGTCGAATCAGTGTCGGAGGAGTGTCTCCCAGGGCCCGACACGCGAAAACCCTCGAGTTCTGGTGCTTGTTTGCTTCGTGCTCGACATTCTTTCCTGGTGAGCAAAGCTAAAAGCAGGTTGGAACACCATAGCAGTAGCCCAGAGATGCTCAACGGTGTAGTCCAACATGCTAGAGCAGATCCCCGGACGATTGACTCTACCAGCTTGGGACCTTCCCCCTGCAGAGGCACACGCCCGACCTCAAGCCAGTGGGGCGGCGACGGCAGGGCCCCCGGGGGCCCTCGCGCCGAAGGCGCCGCGGCCGGCCCCGTCCCCTGCCGCCGAGACGCCAGGCCCTCTCCAGAGCCCGGGCGCCCTGTGGGGGGGGGGGCTCCCCGCCCCCCCCCCAAGGAGGGCCAGGGCCTCGGGGGGGGCCCGCGGCGTGTGGTGCCCTGGGCTGCTCGGGACGCCGCCCCCCCCCCCCCCCCGGCCTGCCCCCTCGCCGCTCGGGGCCCCTGTGGGCCCCCAGTGGCGCTCGGGGGCACGAGAGGTCCTCCCTGCTCGAGGCACCCTTTGCACTCTGTCGCCGCTGCTGTGGGGCGTGGGTCCAGCCGTCGGCCTCTCGGTCCCGACCCTGGGGCGGGTGCACGGGCCTCGCATCCAGGGTGGACTCCACTCGTTTGAGATCCCTCGAGGTGGATGAGGATCCCGTCTCGCAGGAATTGAGGGACGTGCTTCGCCCTCTCCTGGTCTCTGACGACGCCTGCTTTTGGCTTCGTCCTCGGTAGCTCGCTGGGTGTTTACCGTATGCTTTTCGTCGAGTTGTGCATATTCGCCTTTCCAGTCGCCCCGATTTGGTGGTGGAGGAGGAGGAGGAGGAGGAGGAGGAGGAGGAGGAGGAGGACGAGGAGGAGGAGGAGGAGGAGGAGGAGGAGGAGGAGGAGGAGGAGCGACGCGCTCGTGTTCGATTTGGTGATGGCTCCTCCTTTCTCTTCGACATGCTGTCGGGCCGCTCTGGCCCGCAGCGTCAGAGGAGTGCGGCCAGCCTCGCGCAGCTCGACCGCGCTCAGCAAGAGCAGCAAGGCTGCCCTGACGTGGCCCAGGCCCATCAGCAGGGCGGCAGACAAGGCATGGGGCCGAGTGCCCCAGGAGGGCAGAGACGGAGGCCCTCCTCCTCTTCCTCCTCCTCCGCATCCTCCTGCGGCTGTTCCTCCTCCTCCTCCTCCTCCTCCTCCTCCTCCTCCTCCTCTTCCTCCTCCTCTTCCTCCCCTCCCCTTCCTCGGCCACGGGCGTCGTGGGGCGCGCCTTGGTCGCCCAGACCCATGCGGATCAGCTCCTCCTCCGCCCGCCGCGGCGGACCCCGCCGCCAGTCGAGCTGCTGGAGTGCCTCTCTGGGTGCCGCGGGGTCGGGGCAGCGAGGAAACGAGGATCGAATCTCAAAGTTTGACGATCGGTTCCCGGCTGAAGGAGAAGGGGTCGAGGAACGACGTGCTAGGCTTTTGCGCGTCTTGGGCTCTCTCTCTCTCTGTCTCTCACTCTCTCTCTCTCTCTCTCTCTCTCTCCCCGGGGTCCTGGAGGCCACAAGGAACCTGCGGGAACCTCTCGAGACCACCCGGGACCTCTAGCGAGAGGGGGGAAGGAAGATGAAGAAGTCGAGAAGGAGGACCCCCTTCCGTCCGCTCGAACCTTCTGCCCGGGACAACCTTCTCCTGCTCACTCCCCGTCCCAGTCCATCCTTCCCCCGTTCTTTCCTCATCCTCCTCCTCCTCTTCCTCCTTCTCCTCTTCCTCCTCCCACTCCCCCTCCTCCTCCTCTTCCTCCTCCTGCTCTTCCTCTTTGTGTCACTTATGCGTAGGTTAGCTCAGCTCCCCGCTGTGCGAATCCAAGCATCTCCAGGCAGACCAAGAACCTCACGCGTCCTCGTCCTCCTCCTGGTCTTCCTCCTTGTCCTCCTCCTCGTCCTCTCCTCCTCCTCCTCCTCCTCCTCCTCCTCCTCCTCCTCCTCCTCCTCCTCCTCCCCCTTCTCCTCCTCAAAATTATTTGTCTGTCTTCTTCTTCTTCTTCTCCTCCTCCTCCTCCTCCTCCTCCTCCTCCCGTCCTCCTCCACTCCACGTACTTCGCCCCTCTCCTAGTTGGAGCTCCCTGCGGAGCACGTTCCGTGGGCCGCAGCTGGGGCCCCCCCCGCGGGGCACGATCCGAATGAGAGGTGCCCACTTGCGTCGAAAACGCATGCGCGCATTTTCATCGGAGGACCCCCCCGCGGCGAATTCACTCACTGCGAGAGGGGGGGGCGGGAGGGCAACTGTTCCCGCGGCGCCCCGCGGGTTCAACCGCGCAGCGGTCCGCCGCCCGCCCCGGCAAAAACGGGAGAGGACGCAGGGTGGGATGGAGGAAGAAACGCGCAGCCCTCGCTCAAGCCCAGATGGCCCCGGCAAGGAGGAAAGGGTGAGAGGAGGGAGGAGCGGGCGACATCTTGGGAGAATCCAAAAAGCTACTTGCCACGCCCCAGCAAAACAGGATGCCCCGCGGTGAACTCACCCAATGCGAGGGAAAGGGAGCGGGAAGGCAATGTTTCCCGTTGCGCGTTGTGGGTTCAGCCGCGTAGCGGCCCGCCGCCCAAAAACGATGGGGGGGGGCACGGGGCACCTCTTGCACAGCGTACCCTCCCACAAAAGACGCTACCCTAAACAGCTCGAGGGGTTGGGGAGAGCGCGGGGGGCGCTGCTCATTGGGTAGGCCCGCGCCCGTGGGGCGGGCGCGCGACGCCTTAATCGCGTCGCCGCGCCCCGCGGGGGCGCGCGGGTGCAGCGGCGCCCCGCAAGCCGCCCCGATCACAGGAGCGGCGAGATATGAAAGGGCAGCGCCGCTACGGCGGCACGCCGACGCGCGCGCGGGGCGCGCGGGCCTCGCGTTTGGCCGCTGCGCGCCCACGGCGCCGCGCGTCGCGCACAGGGGCATGTTCGCGTTCCCCGCCGCGGGGAAAAAAGGTCACGAAGAGGACCAATGCCCAGAACGCGAAGAACAAGAGGACCTGAGAGCGCGCCCCCCCTTTTCCAACCTCTCACCCGACCGCCCCGCTCGCCCTCCCTCCCCGCGGGCCCCGCGGCGATTCGCGGCGCCCGCGGCGGGGGGGGGGGGGGGCGTTGCTGGGTGCGCGTTTTTCTGAACGAACAAAACTGCATAGTGTTCTTGCCCACAAAAGACGCTACCGTAGACAGCTGAAAGGGTCGGGGAGAGCGCGGGCAGCGCAGCTCATTGGGTGGGCCCGCGCCCGCGGGGCGGGCGCGCGACGCCTCGCTCGCGTCGCCGCACCCCGCGAGGGCGCGCGGGCGCAGCGACGCCTGAGGCACTTGCTGCGCCGGCGCTGAGGGAGCACCTGGCGCCGCACTCGCGCGAGGTGCCCGAAAATGCCACTCACTTAGCCCTCATCATCGTCGCTGGACGACAGGTCGCCGTGCGCTTCCCTGACGGCACCCGCCTCCAGTTCGTCCTTATCAAACTGGGGCAGGAAAGCCGCGGAACGCCAGTCTCCAGCTCGGAAGATGTCTGCCAGCCGCGAACCTCGGACAGCCGTGTCCTGCGCGTGACCCTCGCGAAGATCGCGAGTGTGATACGCCTTATGCTGAGGCGCCCCGAGCTCTTGCAAGGCCGCGCGCAGCGCCGGTAAGACCACGTCGGGGCGGAAATGCGCACAAGGCTGTCCGGACTCGCTCTCGGCGCCAAACTTGCCCAACGCGTGCGCGGGGCACGTTGCTTCGCAGCGCGCGCGCAAACAGGTCCGCGACATCGTGATCGGCGCAGCGCGATTCTTGCGCCGGAGAAGAGTAAGCGAAATCGAATTGTCATCGAATCGCAGGCAGGACTTCGGCTCGCCCGCCTTCGGCGGATCGCTTGCACGAGCGACGTAAATCGGAAGAGCTTCAGAAGGCCGGAGCAACAACCATATATGCGCCGCCAGGAAAAGCAATCGCAGCGCGCGCCCTGAAGGCCGGCGGGCGAGATGCCTCAGCAATCTCGCGAGAAGCGCCTCGCGAATGGGCATTATTGGGCGAGCTCGCCAAATATTGCGCACCTGCGCTGCTCGAGCAGCGCGATCGACTGCAGGGCCTGCAAAAGCGTCGACCGATCCAAGCTGACGTGCGAGAGATCATGGTCGAATGTTCCTTTGCAGCGAAAGCGCGTGCTCCGCAGAGCCGGGCCGTCTGGCGCGGGTGGGGCGATTGCCTCCGCGTCGCTGCCGAGCGCTGTCATCGCAAATGTTGCCCAACAGCGGAAGCCGCTAATTGCGCTGGGCCACGTCATAGGGCAACTACCCAACATGGCAGCAAACCCGACCAATTTCTCTTTCCGCGCCGCGCGATCCCCTGGCGCGGGGCCCCCGCCTCGCGGCGAGGGCCCGCGCTCGGCGCGATCGCGTGCTGGCTCGCAGATTGTCAACTCAAGATCCCGCACGGCGCCGCACTTAGCGGCTGAGTCAGCGGATTTGGCCGCTCTCTGTCGGACGCGGCGACTGCGGCTGGCGCGGGGGGGCGCTCGCCCCCCCGCGCTCCGCGCGGCGGCAGGCAGTTTCTTTGCCCCGTTAACTCGTGCCAACAAGCTTTTCCGCAAGGCGTCGGGACCGCCGCGTCGCTCACTGTCCGCGTCGGGAACGGACTCGAACCGTTCGACTCGCGCGAACTGCAGTTTCCGCAGCGCGAGTGTATCGCGCTGCCCCAGCAGCTCCACCAGCGCGAAAATAGTGACAGGTGGAAGCGTTGGCAAGGTATTACTGCATGCGCTTCATGAAACAGCGACATGGTTCTCTTCTGGCCGAGATCCCTGCCTTGAACCTGCGCCGACAGCGCTATGATATGTGCAGCGGCGCGACTAGCACTGGGGCGAGACCGCGACTCCCCTGTCGACTTGGGGCTTGCCAGAGCGCGCGACTATTCTGCCCTGGCGCGCGCGAGGCTTGGCTCGCCTCATACTGGAGCGAGGGGCCGCAGTGAAAACATTTGCGCTGCGCTTCACGCCGTGGCCTGCGCGCGACCGCGCCCGCGCTGCGCCCCGCCACTTTCCGGCGCGCGCTCGCCGAGAGAGTGCGGGCAAGGAGTGTGCTTGGAGCGAAGAGTTCCGCCGCGCTCAACTGCGGCGTCACATAGTTCGCTCCCAGCAGACGCAATAACCCGTATATTTCTCGCGAGGGAAGGTCGGCGACATTCTCCTCCGACGGCAGTCGGTCGAACCAGGCCCCGCATCCTATGCGCGCGATGAGGTGAGGTGCCACGGCGCATGAATAATTCGCATGAACGGACAACGCCGCTACGGCGGCACGCCGACGCGCGCGCGAAGCGCGCAAGCCTCGCGTTCGGCCGTTGCGCGCCCACGACGCGGGGAGGAAAAGTCACCAGGAGGACCAAGACCCAGAACACGAAGAACAAGAGGACCTGAGCGCGCGCCCCCCATTCCCCAACCTCTCACCCAAACGCCCCGCTCGCCTCCCCCCCCCTCCCCCGCGGGCCCCGGGGCGATTCACGGTGCCCGCGGCGGTGGGGGAGGGAGAAACGCTGCTAGGTACGCGTTTTTGTGATAACGAACAAAACTGCGTAGTGTTCTCGCCGCCCCCCCAACCAAAAAGCCGAGCCATCCCAGACTGCGCGCAAGCGAGGCGCGCGCAGCGCTAGGGGGGGGGGGCCTTCCGACGTCGGGCCCCAGAGGCGAGGTACCCCCGCGCGCCTTCCGCTACGAGAGCGCGCAGGCAGATCGCCTATGCCGCGCTGCAACGGAGAACGTGTGTGTGTGTGTGTGTGTGTGTGTGTGTGTGTGTGTGTGTGTGTGTGTGTGTGTGTGAATGTATGTGTCTGTGTCTCTGTGTCTGTGTGTCTGTGTGTCTGTGTGTCTGTGTGTCTGTGTCAATGTCCGTGTCAGTATATGTGTCTGGAGAGGTGTCTGTGTAACTGTGTGTCTGTATGTTTTTCTGTGTGTGCGTGTGCATGTGCGTGTGCGTGTGTTTATACCTGTGCCTGTGCCTGTGTGCGTGTGTGTGTGTGTGTGTGTGTGTGTGTGTGTGTGTGTGTGTGTGTGTGTGTGTGTGTGTGTGTGTGTGTGCGTGCGTGCGTGCGTGCGTGCGTGCGTGCGTGCGTGCGTGCGTGCGTGTATGTGTATTGTGTGTGTGCGTGCGTGCGTGCGTGCGTGCGTGCGTGCGTGCGTGTATGTGTATGTGTGTGTGTGTGTGTGTGTGTGTGTGTGTGCGTGCGTGCGTGCGTGCGTGCGTGCGTGCGTGCGTGCGTGTGTGTGTGTGTGTGTGTGTGTGTTTGTGTGTGCGCGTGTGTGTGTGTGTGTTTGTGTGTGTGTGTGTGTGTGTGTGTGTGTGTGTGTGTGTGTGTCTGTGTCTGTGTCTGTGTCTGTGTGCGTGTGCGTGTGTGTACGTGTGCGTGTGCGTGTGCGGAGCGTGGGTGTGAGCGGACCTCCTCTGCCTCGCCGCTGGCGAAAAAAGTGCGTGGAGGGAAGTGCTGAAGAGGAGTAGCGAGGGGAGGGGGGGGAGGCGGGAACGCCGCGCAGCGCAGAGAAAACGGGGACCACACTGCACAAGAGGTTCGTGGGAAACACTGGGGGCGACGGGGTCGCCAAGCTGGTCGCCTGTCTCATGCCGTGAACGGGCGCGCGCAGGCCCGGCGCGGGCGGTGCATCTTCTGCCCGAGTTGGCATGGCTTGTTGGCGGCTCCACCTGGTAACCAATCTGGCAGATGGACCTGGCGAGCTCATGAAATTCGCTCTCAGTGTCGGACTACCATGTCATGTCCTGCAATGGAAGGTTGGCGTCCCGGACCTCAACGGGGCTTCTGTGGATCAAATGTTCGGCCTCTTGCGTCTGGGTATGTGGACCGCCAGCGCCATCATATTCTGCGACCCCATCGCAGCAGAGCTCTGCTTGCCACGACCAGTCTGCCATCTCGCAACGCCGCGTCGCTTTCGCGGCCACAAGGGCACCATCTCAGCCACGCTCGTGACCGCATCCCATTCGGAAGAAGCTGGTAAGCGGGCGGTACCAGCGTAGACTCTTAGTCGGCCCGCGGGACCCGGGAGCCCAAACAGACCTACGGTTCGTGTCGTGACGACCTGGGCGCTGGTTTCTGAAACGACATGGATCGTTCAACCTTTACGGGGCGTGAGAACGACCACGGCCACTGCTTTTCTTTTGTTGCCGCCTCCCAGCCAGCAGAAACAAAGCAGCGGTTGTGGTCATTTTCATTCAGCTTGGCACCGGGGAAATGACCACAACCACTGCTTCTTCTTCGGCCAGCTGGAAGGCGGCGCAAACAAGAAGCAGTGGCTGTGGTCATTTTCCCGTCCCGCAACCGTGGACGGTCGTCGGCGCCTCGATTGCCAGATCGTTACACAGTCTGGGTTGTCGAAGCCAATCTGGCGCCAATCTGGCAGGCCCAATCTGGCAAACGGGGGCAATCTGGCGAGGGAGCCAACGCGAATCCAGTCTGGCGAATAACCCAAATCATCCAGTTTGGCCAGGCCAGATTGGCCCTTGGGGCCCAATCCAATCTGACAGTCTGGCCTTCGACTACCCAGACAGTGGCCGAGTATGGGCCACCGGCGGCCTTCAACCTCGGACGCCCGCGGCGGGGCCGCCGCGGCCTCGAAGACGACGCGAGCCCGCCGTACCTTCGGCGAGCGGGCCGTGTGTCCGCCCCCCCGGTGGCGCGCGCCGCCACTTCTGGGCGGCTCCCCTGGCTCAGCAACAAGGTCGCCGACTCGTGGGACGTGCTCCCCCCCCCCCCCCCCCCCCCCACACTGGGGAACAAAAAGTGGCATAAAAATAACAACTCGGAGGTCCGCGCGGATTTCGCGGATCGGCGCTGGAGCCCCCTCCCTGGCGCGCGGAGCGCGCCAGGGGCGGCGCCGGAGGCGGGCGCCGCTGGGGGGCCCCAGCGCCGATCCGAGACATCCGCGCGGACCTCCGAGTATTTCTGTTTATGCCACTTTTTGTTCCACTACCCACCCCCCCTGCCCAACCCTCGCCGACGAACCCGCGGCTGACCTGGGGTGAGTGCGGTCCGCCTGCGTGTGGCGGGGCGCTGCAGCCATCGTGCCACCACGGGGAACGCCAGCACGACACCGACGGGGCGCTTCGGGTCACGGCGAGCCTCGACCACGGACCGGCACCCCCACCCTGACCCCCCAAGAGAGCCCTTAATCACTTCAACGTCCTGGCCGTATGGCGGCCATGCTCGAACGCTTCGACCTCCATCGCGCTTCGCTGCCAGCTGCCGCTGCTCCCCCATCCTTTCTCTCGTCCTCCTCCTCCTCCTCCTCCTCCTCCTCACCTCCCGTTGTCGCTCCTGCTCCACACTCCTCCGAACCCTCCTGCTGTCGTTCCTCCTCCTCCGCCTCACCCTTCTCGTCACCTCTTCCTCTTCCAGCTCACCTCCTCCTACTCCTCCTCCTCTGCCTCCTCCTCCTCACTTCCTCCGCACCGCCTCGTCCTCACCCTCCGGCTGTCGCTCCTCCTCCTCCTTCTCCTCACCTCATGCTGTCGCTCCTCATCCTCCTCACCTCCTGATGTCGCTCCTCCTCCTCTTCCCCCTCCCCTTCCTCCTCCTCCTCCTCCTCCTCCTCCTCCTCCTCCTCCTTCTCCTCCTCCTCCTCCTCCTTCTCCCCCTCCTCCTCCTCCCCAGCGCCGACGCACCTTGCTGGCGCGGCTTGCACGGACCCGCTCGTGGAACGTGGGCAGCCAGTCCGTGACCGTCTGGAGGAGGTCGCTCGGGAGGTCGAGCAGCCCCACGCCTGCGGGGATCTCCCCAAGCAAGGCGCACGGTCGATCCACCTCCTTCCAACCTGCTGCAGCCTTTGGCATGCTGGGTATATCACGATTGCCGGACCTGGAATCGCCACGAGAAAACATGTTGTTGGTTGCAATTCCAACTTGTCCATGATTCCGAATCGCGGGACACCTGGAATCACTATGAACCGCGCCACTTGTTGTAGTGATCCCAGGTGTCCCATGATTCCGGCTTGTGGGAGATTGTGGAACCCGTAAACAGGGGGTGGGTCTTCTGGGTGATGTTAGGTTTCCCGTATGTCGAATTCCAAATTTCGGCGATCAACAATGTCCCAAAATCGGAAAAGTTTCCCGTAATTCGGAATCCGAGGTCGAATTACGAGAAACTTGGCGTCGCAACGAAAAACAGACCTTTTTGGTAATGATTCCAGGTTCCCATACTTCCGAGTCATCGGAAACCTGGAATCAACACGACAAAACATGTGTCGTGGTGATTCCAAATTTCCCGTAATTCCGAATTATTGGAAACCCAGAATCACCCCCCAAACAACATGTTTGAGACGCGCGGTGACTTTAGGTTTCCCATCATTCGAAATTCGAATTTCGGAACACGGGGGTGGCAGTTGCCCAGAATTCGAAAGGCTTCCCGTGACTCGAATTCCGAATTTCGGGGGACCAGAAGGGAGAAGCCGCTGGGGAAGGTCGAATTACGGGAAGCCTGGGATCACCACGAAAAGTATTTTTGTTGGTGGTGATTCCACGTTTCTCATAATTCCAGATTGTGGATAGCATGGAGTCACCACAAACATTTGTTCGGTGGTGATTCCATGTCTCCCATGATTCCGAATTCTGGAAAGCCTGGAATCACCACACTGAACCGGCTTTTTCGTGGTGTCCAGATTTCCCATAAGTCGAATTCCGAATTTCGGGAAACTGGATAGGCAAGGCTCCTCGGGGTGCCCTGACGGGTGGTAATGATCACGCCCAGGGCCCCTGCTTTCCCGTAATTCGCCTTTTCCGACCTGTTGAATCATGGGGAACCCATAGCTGGACAACAGCCTACTCCTCCCCCTTCCCCCTTGTGAGCGGGGGGACAGGAGGGGGGGGCTCATCCCTGTGGACAAGAGGAACTCCCTCCCCCCCCTCTCCCCCAATTCCCCCCTGTGCACAGTGGGGAAAAGGGGGTCTCACTGTGGACACGGGAGAGGGAACTCAAAACTCCTCCCCCCGCGTCCCCCCTGTGAACCAAGGGGCACGGGGACCACCCCTCCGGGGAGGTCGCCAGCGGGGGTCCTTAGGGAGGTGTCGCCTTCAAGGTCGGCGGCGCCGGCCGCAAGGCCTTCACAATAGGGTTCCGTGCGTACCTCTACACACATACCACATATGTTCCACATATGGAGTTCCACATGACACGCATGGGATTCCACGCGCGTGGGGTTCACACACTGAGTTTCATACTCAAGGCTCCACGCACACACGGCTCCAACCACACAGGGTGTCTCACACTGGATCCCACATGTTCCAGAAACGCGGGCTTCCACACATGTGGTGTTCCATACGAGCTGGTTCTCCCAAAAGAGGGCTTCACCCATGGTTCCGCGCCTAGCATTGCTCTGTTGGTCGCGGCCGCGGGCGAAAGCGCAAGCGGCGAGACGTAAGTCCGGGGCGCGGGCCTACGAATTGACAACAGGAGCAAACTAACGCCGCGCACCTAAACTGCCTGAGCTGCCCAAGCGGCGCCACCTAGCACTGCACGCACAGGGTCACAGCTTCGGCCTCGCGGCCCCGCGCGCGGCGACGGGGCGCCCAACGTCGGAGCAGGGGGGAAGCACACGCGCGGCGAGCGGCCGAGCCTCCCAAGCCGCCCAGACCGAGCAGCGCCTTGGCCAGCCATCGGCCGCCCGCATAATGCGGGAGGACGATTAACACAAAAAATGGGAGAGAACGATTAAAACATAGTTTTCTGCAATTTCTGCATAATGTTCTGACTGGAGGAGAACGATTAAAACATGATTTTCCAGCCTGCGGCCGGTTTTTTCTAATCGTCATCCCGGGCGCCGCCGCGTGAACACGACCCCCGGTCATTTATTAATCGTCATCCTCCATTCGATGATCAAGGTAACGACGAGATGCGCGGCGCCAACTGGCGCGAAACGGCCTGCCAGAGGGCGAAAAGGGGAACCGCAGGAACTACAGTCAACACGTATAGTAGGGACGCGTGGTAAGGACGCAAGACCCTTGGAGGCTGAAGTTGGGATTTTTTTGGGCGGCGGTGACCAGTGAAAACGGCAAAGAACGGGCCACAGAGGCAAGGACGCAAGGGTATCCTAGATGAAGGTTTGTGTCCTTACTAGGCGCGTTGATTGTACAGCGATCCCATTGCCCTTCGACTGGCAGAAGGGCAGGACAAGGCAAAGGGCTGCCGAAGGCCAGCAGTGGCGGCGAGGACACCGCAAAGGCTGCACCGCGGAGGCAGCAGCGACAGCAGGCCCAACGGGTCGCCGGAAAGTCGGCTGAGGATCAACCCGAAGGGGAGTGGCCGGCCCGAGCATGGGATCACACACGCAGGGCTCCACGCTTGTGTCTCCCCAGTGTGGTGTCAGCGCGCACACATGAAGGGGCCCTGGGGCACAAATGAATACACACAAATAGCAGGGATCCAAGTATTTTCCCATACTTTCAGGGTTTTTGTCTTCCCCCCACTTCCCGTATCTTCTCACATTTTCTGGGGAATCGACGATTAATTGTGTCTGTGTGTTTTTTCCCTCCTGAACACCTGGCCATCGCTCGGACGTCCATCCCCTGTGTTTTTGTCCCGGTTTCGTGCGTGGCTTCTTCGCCAGATGGTCGAGGATGCTCCTCGAAGGTCCTCGCCGAGAAAAACAATGCACACGTCCGAGCGATGCCAGCCAAAGGCCTTGCGTCCATATCGCGCATCCTTACTCTGCGGGCTGACTGTACTCAGCTGTCCCTGCATCGTCCTCGTCCAAGTCGTTCTCGTCGTCGTCCGTTCGATCCTCGTCATCGTCCCCGTCGTCCTCGTGTTGTCTCGAACCCAGTGCGAGGCCGCTCGCAATCCCCATCCTACACGCGACACAGGGCCCCACACACACATAGGATTCCACGCGCCCCAAGAGGTGCAGCCCCGAGTGCGCGAAGGGGGCGACGGCGGCCGAGGCCGCCCCGCCCTTTCGCGCAGCGGCGCGGGCTCCGCAGCGAGCGGCCTCCGCGCAGCCTGCCAACGAGACACGTCCACGCGCGCGGGCCTCCGCACGGAGGAGGAGGAGGAGGAGGAGGAGGCGGAGGAGGAGCAGGAGGATGAGAAGGAGGAGGAGGAGGAGGAGGAGGAGGAGGAGGAGGAGGAGGAGGAGGAGGAGGAGGAGGAGGAGGAGGGGGGGAGGGGGGAGGAGGAGGACGCACGCGCACGCGCACGGCCCGTGCCGCGGCGGCCCTGGCGCTGGTCTCCGCACACGCGGAGCGAAAAGGAGGGCCTCAACAGAGACCCCTCGGAGGTCCGCGCGCGGGCTCCTCGGATCGGCGCTCTGGGGCCCGGCAAACCGCTCGGGCGTCCCTTCCCGGTGTGTGTTTTTTGTTTTCGGTCTCGTGCGTGGCTTCTTCGCCAGAGGATCAAGGATGCTCCTCGATGGTCCTCGCCGAAGGAAAAATGCACACGTCCGAGCGATGCCAAGGTACCCCCCCTCCCCGGCGCGCGGAGCGCGCCGGTGGCGGCGCCGGAAGCGCCGCCAGGGGGGCACCAGCGCCGCGCCAGCGCCGACCCGAGAAACCCGCGCGGACCTCCGAGTCTTTGTGCTTATGCCATCCTTCGCTCCCCCGACTGACACCGCGGGGAGCGTTCAATCTTGAACGATCGGCGGCACTTCCGATCGCCAGGAGGAGAGGAGGAGGAGGAGGAGGAGGAGGAGGAGGAGGAGGAGGAGGAGGAGGAGGAGGAGGAGGAGGAGGAGGAGGAGGAGGAGGAGGAGGAGGAGGAGGAGGAGGATCGTTCCATGTTGACCGATTCTGGGCCCCTGGCGGTGCTCAGCCTTGAGCGCCCGCGGCGGGGTCGCCGCCGCGCCGGCACGACGCAGAAACCTGCCGCAGGGCCGCTCGTCGCCAGTGGAGGCCCATGCCACAAAGCACCCTGCTTGCCTCCAGGGTGCTCTGGGTGTCTTGGGTTTCGGTGTTTTTTTTGTTTCTTCTCCTCCAGAAGCGATTTTTTTCAGTCCACGGAGTGCGCGGGAGTCCATGCGAAACCCCGGTCTTATGTGCAGTGGCGGTGGGAACACGCGTCCCTAGGGATCCCAGAATGAGCGCCGAAAGTCATCAGGGTGACTTACAGCACGTTCTGAAATTAATCGTCTTGGGTTTCGGTGGTTTGTCCACTGGACAGCGCGCCGGTCCCACACCTCGGAGTCCATGGACGTCCTGGGGTCTCAGGGTTGGGCTTCCTGTGGAAGGCGTCTCGGTGGACTGGCCTCCGCATGGGGTAACCACTTTCTTTGGTCGCGGGCTCGGCGGACGCACGAATCGGCCGAGCTGGCGCTGGGCGGCAGCGGAGCGAAGTGCGCACCAAAGGGGCAGTGAGCGAGGGAGAGGAGGAGGAGGAGAGGGAGGAGGAGGAGGAGGAGGAGGAGGAGGAGGAGGAGGCGGAGGAGGAGGAGGAGGAGGAGGAGGGGCGGAGGAGGAGGAGAGGAGGAGGAGGAGGAGGAGGCAGAGGAGGAGGAGGAGAAGGAGGAGGAGGAGGAGGAGGAGGAGGCAGAGGAGGAGGAGGCAGAGGAGGAGGAGAGGAAGGGCTGCGCACGCAGGGCGTGCGGCTCTCGAGGCGGAGTGCTGCAGCCTCGGGCTCCTGGGGGGACGTGCGGTGGGGCCGTCCCAGCGAGCTCGATCTCGGCGGGGCAGGCGCCGCGACGGCACGCGGCGGCCTTCGAGAAACTGGTGGGAACGCGCAAGCGCCCCAATGGGGAGGCCGGGTGGGGAGTACGGAGACGGCAGGCCGACGACTGCA